ATTAAGGGAAAAGAACTGTTCTTTTTGACAGAAGGAGAATCTGAGTCTTGCGGGTCACTTGGCCAGCCAGGAATGTTGCCCAAGGAACCCACAGGACCCCTTTTTGGTTACTGCTGACTACTGCAGACACCACCATCTGCCACCCCGACTCTACCCCGCCCTGCTCCAGTTTGTCCCAGTCTCCCCCTCTCCAACCTTTGGCTACATGAGCACAGTAGGCAGAATAGAATTTTTCTTTCAGGGAAAATCATTGGGGGCCATGAAGCCGAGCCTCATTCTCTTCCCTACATGGCATTTCTTCGGATAAAGTCTCCAAAGCACAATGTCTGCGGGGGGTTCCTTGTGAGTGAGGACTTTGTGCTGACAGCGGCTCACTGCTGGGGAAGGTGAGGAGCAGTGTCCGGGCCCCCATCCTTCTGTAGACACCTCTCAGGGGACCGTCTTCTCAGGGGCTGCAGACCTAGGCCACCTAGTAGCACAGAGGAGCTCTTTGGAGGGCAAGCAACTTTGGTGGGGGAAAGGGACAGGTCAATTCAAGTGGCCTGTTGAAGAGAGAAAGGACTGATCAAAGGTGGCATGGGAAGGAGGCCGAGGTTGTGCCCAGGACCCCGGAAAGCAAATGTGAGAAATTCACGGTTTTGTTTAGAGAAGGTGAGCTCAGTGCATGACTGAGCACCCTAAATCTGCTTCAGGAACTGCCACCTGGTCCGAGCTGCCAAGAAGCAGAGGGCACAGAGATGCTCAGCTCCAGGGTCCCATCCACCATAATTCCCCTCCATAAGTCCAGTCCCACCCTGTACTCAACTGTCCTTTTTCTTTCACAGCCCCTGGGCTGTATTTCCTGTGACTCCACCTCCCTCTCTGCTCTTTATGCAGTTCAATCAGCGTCACTCTGGGGGCCCACAACATTTTGGAGCAGGAGAAGACCCAGCAGGTCATCCTGGTGACAAGAGCCATACCCCACCCAGACTATAATCCTGACACCAAAGCCAATGACATTATGTTACTTCAGGTAACTGTAGGGCTCCACTAGTTCTTGCACACTTTAACCCCAGGGTTTTGCACTCCTTGTGAGCTCAATCCTGTTCCCCTTCCCAGTATGACCCTTTACTCGTCCCAGGGCTGTAACAACAGCAACCCCAGGGCTGTCCCTGGAGTCTGTAGGTCATTGGTAGATTAGAATTCCTATCCTTTGCCTTCAGCTAAAGAAGAAGGCCAACCTGACTGCCGCCGTGAGAATTCTCAGTCTGCCCAGAAGGACAGCGCAGGTGAAGCCAGGGATGGTGTGTAGTGTGGCCGGCTGGGGACGCCAAGGCGTGACCACCAACTTGTCAGTGAGACTGCGTGAGGTAGAGCTTGAAATCCAAAGTGACAAACAATGCAACTCTCACTACAAAGACCTTTACGACAGCACCACTCAAATATGTGTGGGGAACCCAACAAAGATTCAGAATTCTTTTAAGGTGAGATCCCCAGCATTGCCCATGACAACCGTGGGCATGACTGAGCTTTGAGGAGACCCTGGACAGTAGAAACTAGTCATATCCCTATATCCTCAGTCTTTCCACTGATTCAGTCTCTGGTCCTGTCTCCCTGGGTGGGGGGAGGGAGGGCGGGAGGGAATGAGAGATTGTCCCACATCCATTTATGGGCAGAGGTTTCCCGGAGGAGGGGGAAGGGGACTGTCATGGCCCGGCTGGAGCCCCAGGACCTAGAGAGGCGACAAGGCCTGCCCTGGCCCTGATGTCCCATACAGCTCCCTAACAGAGACCAGCCACCCCTGGGACAGTGAGGCAAGCAGGACCAGGAGAAGGCCCAGCTCAGTCCATCCTCGCTCTGCCCACAGGGAGACTCTGGGGGCCCCCTCGTGTGTAACAGCATGGCTCAGGGCATTGTCTCCTATGGAAAGAAGGATGCGAGACCCCCAAGTGTCTACACCAGGATCTCAAGCTTTTTGAAATGGATAGCAAGAACAATGAGATACCTCAAACTGCAGAGACCAAACTGAGGCGTCCCGGAAGCGATCCTTCATCTTCTCCGAGGGCACAAGCTAATACTGCATTGGGCAAAGTGGATGGAGGGGAGTCTGCCAGACATTTAATAAATTTTCATCTCTAGAGCAGAAATCACTGATTCCTCTTTTATTCACCAAAACATTTGTTAGTTACCTACTGTGTGTCCAGCAATCGTCTGTTCACATGTCAGATCTGCTATAGGCTTCCCCCTTCAGTATACCCCACCTTCCACCTCTAGAATAAAAAATCATGCTACATTGATAGCCAGCTCCTTCCAGATACACCTCCCCAGTGCCAGCTCCCCCTGCCAGGCTGAATGTAAACTCCGTCAGGAAATAGAAGACAACTCACCAGGAAAAAGTGACCCTTTTCTAGAAGACTCCCTTATCTTGACCATGCCATTCTCCTACACACATACCCCTACCCTCACGCAGCCCCAGTGCCAATATGAACATAAAAGAATCCATAAATTGGAAGAAGGATTAACTAAAAAGATCTGGGGTGGGGGAACAATTCTCCACCCTAACAAATGAGTGGGAAGATTTTGGAATGGTGTAACTCACCTTATGCAGTGCTCCCTTCCCCAAACCAGAGCAGCTTAGAAGCCTAAGAAGTTTAAGAAGGGTCCGTCAGTACTCCTTGGACCAGCATGAGTGCCTGTCACAGCCTTATTTTTATTCCCGAGCCCAGTGCATCTTCTGGTGCCCTGGCAGGCCATTCTCCTGCAGCGAGAAATGACTTTGACAGTGCTCTTCCATGTTGGTCTGTGCCAGCCTCTCTCCACCTCCCATTGAGCGTGTGTGTGTGTGTGTGTGTGTGTGCGTGTGTGTGTGTGTGTGCATGTGCGTGTGTGTGTGTGTGTGTGTGTCTCCAAAGGAAACTCATTATAATGAAAAGTATTTGTTTCAAGAGTATCCTTCCATAGCCGTAAGCCTACTGAGGAATTTTTTTCTTATATTTTCAACAATCTCTAAATCTTTTATATAAAGTTGGATTCAGAAAAGTAACCTCATTGTAAAACATCCACCTGAAAGAAGGCTAAGCTGAAAAAAAATGGTTTGCAGAATGTTCGCCATTGATGACTGCGCTTCGACTACGGGAAAATGTATTTGGGGTATAAAAGTTTTACATATTCTACATAGAAAGATAGTTAAATACAGAACATATAAATAAGAAAGTGAAAATTACCGAGAATTCCACTACCCAGAGATCACCGCTGATGCTTAAGCACGTTTATTTTCACTTTTTCTCTGTGTATTCATAGGATGCTGTTCTTGGCACAGAATTGAGGCTGGGCTGTGTAGAGCTCGCAGTGGCTCCCTTTCCATTTCTCTTTCTTCTGCTGTCACACTGGTGAGTGTTGAGACAATCGGTTTGCAATTGTTTACGACTGCTCAACACAGGGACACCAGAGACAGGGTTCTCTGGACACTGGACAGAGAAAACTTAGTAGATAGTACTATTAGGATGATCAGCGTCCATTTCCCCATCCCCTGGCAACAGTAACCAGCATTTCTCGAGGGGAAATTGCCCACAGAGAGGCACTATGATTTCGGCAGGTCAGTGCCCATCTCAGCTCAAGGGGTGCTAAATGACTTAAGCGTAAACCAACCAGGCCACTCAATTCTGATGGACCCAAAGATGATTTGTTTTGAGCCAATGAATATCAAGTCCAGGATTTTTGTTCAAAACCGTGGGATAAGAGAAGCTCTCTTTGTCACAGAGTATTTATATTTAAAGAGTGGATTCTGAATAGTCCAAAAATATGAGGCTGGAATGGTGGTAAGATAGGAAATGGAGTTACCATTTGGGGTATTTGGGTGTGTCCGGGGCTACCTAGTCCAGCCTCTATCTCACACCACCAGAAGACCCTTCGCCAGAGCCCTTACCATCTCATACCCTAACCTCAGATTCTCAGTCTACTCCAGCTGACCGTCTGCTGCTCAAGGGCAGAAGCCATGTCACTCATATCCCTGGATCTAGCTGGCTAAATCATCATTCATGATTTCATCAGAAAGGAAAAAAGAGCCTGGATCACGGAAAGGGAAACATTTCTGATGTAGTCACTTAGGGACTTTGGGGTTCCAGCCCCTCTGTTGGCAGCAGTCACAGTCTTCACTTTCCTGTTCCTTCTCCTTATGGCTTAGCAGGAGGAGTGCAAATGCGGTGACAGTGTCATTCTCACCTAACCAAGCCAGAGAACTTTGACAAACCACCTCGTATAATGGTACCCAACAAAACTAGAGGAGCATGGGTCGAGGTGTGTAATGTCACTGAGTCACACTTCCTTTGTTCCCCTCCGGGGCTCTGTGTCTGGAAGGAAGAAACACCAGAAGCTCTGACTTGGGCAGACCTCAGGGAAGATGCAGCCTCTCCTGCTCCTGTTGGCCTTTCTTCTTCCCCGTGGGGCTGAGACAGGTGAGTGACCATCCCCATTCCAGAGGCCAGAGCCATCTCATGAAACCCCCTGGGCTCCTGACCCTTAAAGCACAGCACAGGCAAGGAGTTTCTTCCATTTGAGCCCAGGAACTGTCTGAAGTCCAGCTCCCATCCCAACCCCAGACTAAGTCCAATGCTGGACAGACACTCAACAAGGACAGCTGAGAGGAAGAGTGTCCGCTAAAAGGTTTAGCAGCTGTTAGCCTCTCTCTGATCACCTGGAAAGGGGGTTGTTCATAGAAAGGCATTTGGCAGAGGCTGTGAAGCTACAGAAGATGAATAATTAAAATCCTTCGTTTCAACCCAGGAAAGGGCGCCTTAGATGAACCAGCTGCAATAATGCGAGTTGTCACTGGACCCATCTGAAGAACCAGTTAAATTTCTCAGTGCTCTCTACCCGCTTACTCCCAGCAGGAGAGGAGCCCAGGATGTGATTGCTCTCAGAAATGGCTGGATGACTACATACAAGGCGCCCAGGTGCCTTGGCCCTTCCCCAGGCCTGGGCAGCCAATTTTCATCCCCACCTCCTTCTGCCTTCCCAGGCCCTTGGGCAGTGACCTCTCCCCATCCCAGTGGCCTTAAATCCCATCAGCACTGTCCCCACCAAACCTCAGCCAAACACTAATTGGAAGCCATGCATTCATGCAGTCAAAAAAGTGTCTACTGAGAACCTAGGTTGTGTTAGGTCCTAGGACATAAGGATTTTAGAAAATCCAACTCCATAAGCTCATGGGTAGATCATTAGAAAATAGCACCAATCGGGATGTTCGCAGAGGCTCAGGGGGTGTCAGGGAGACTTACCGAGTATTGTCCACATCCCTTGGGGCTTCACCATCTTCAAGCTAGGTCTTACTTCTTCCACACATGTATCTCAGTAGGACATGGAGAATAAGTACTGTCCCCCATTCTCAGAGGGGGATTGTGACACTTGAGGTTCAGAAAAGATTATTCTGCTGCAGGAGAAACTGACAGACCCTGCCCCCATTGTCTTCAGCACACACCTCAATCATCAACTTCCTGAGCCTTCCCCGCTAACCACAGCCACTCCTAGTCACCCACTTTCCAACTTTTTCCTTCAGAGGAGATCATCGGGGGACACGAGGCCAAGCCCCACTCCCGCCCTTACATGGCCTACATTCAGTTTCTGCAAAATGGGCATAAGAACAGATGCGGTGGTGTCCTCGTGCGGAAGAATTTTGTTCTGACAGCTGCTCACTGCAGTGGAAGGTGAGGGGCCGCAGCCAGCCGACACCTCCTGAGACCCGCTCAGGGACCCCTCCCTCCCCAGGGGTGCAGCCCAGGGGAGCTCCCCAGGCTCCTGGTAACTCAAGCTCACAGAGCTCCTCAGAGGAGCCATCTGACAGCACGACTGGGATAAGGAAAAGCTGAGAAAAAGGACAAGTAAGCTTTGGGCTCAGAGGGTCAGAGGTCAGAGTAAGTGACACAGTAGAGAAGAGAAGAGAGTGACCACACTGGCCAAATCAAGCAGTGATGGAGGACGAAAGCACGCATTAACATCAAAGGACAAACTCAAGCGATTTCATGATATTGCCTGAGGGTAAGAGCGAGCTCCCAGAAGCCATACACTCGGTGTCCTTGAGAAGCAGAGGGCACAGTGTCACTCAGCCCTCTGGCCCTAGCTGTAGCCCTGCCCTGCCCCGCTGTCACCTCTCCTTCATGGCTCTGGGCTGTATTTCCGGTGCCTCCACCCTCACACACATCCCCACTCTGCTCTCTGTATAGCTCAATCAATGTCACCCTGGGGGCCCATAACATCAAGAAGCAGGAGAAGACCCAGCAAGTCTTCCGTGTGGTGAAAGCCATCCCCCACCCAGACTATAATCCTAAGAACTTCGCCAATGACATCATGTTACTGCAGGTAAGGAGGGAACCTCCTGCTGCTCTTATTGCTCTGGGCCTCAGTGTTTCCCTCCCACTATGACCTGTCCCTTTCCTCTTCCCATCCTGGCCTCCTGACCAGTCCCAGTGGCTCAGGGGGGAGGGCGGGCACTGCAGCCTCTTGGTGTCCAGGCCCAGAGGCTGCTGGCTGATCTGAGCTCTCTTGCCTCTTCCCCATCAGCTGAAGAGAAATATCAAGCTGACGAAAGCTGTGAAGCCCCTCCGCCTGCCCAAGGGTGAGGACCAGGTGAGGCCTGGACAGAAATGCAGTGTGGCCGGCTGGGGGCAAGTCGCCATGGGCACCTTAGCAACCACTCTACAGGAGGTGGAGCTGACCATTCAGAAGGATCGAGAATGCAAATCCTGCTTCCCCCACTACTACAGCAAGGACAGCCAGATCTGCGTAGGAGACCCGAAGAAGAAGAAGACTGGCTTCAAGGTCAGGTTTCCAGCATTTACCTACACAGGTCCTAGGAAAGAGGAAATTGGGGAGTTCTGGGGTGTGGGAGTGATTATATCATAACGCCTCAACCTGAGAGTTCGGACAGCCTGGGCCCACAAATCCAGTCTTGAGTGTTTTCCTCCAAGTGGATTAAGCGGGGGAGGGTGAGGAAAGATCAGTCATCCCACAGCAGTGTCACCATCGGAGTGAAAGGCTGGGTGTGGGCCAAGCTGGAAGGAACAGTCACAGCCAGGCTGGAGCCCTGCGCCCAAGGGAGGAGACAAGGCCTGTCCTGGCCCTCATCTCCCACTCTGCTCCCTAACAGAGATAACCAACCCCCGAGGCAGGCAGGACCACAAGGAAGCCCAGCTCAGTCTTTCCTCTTTCTGCCCACAGGGGGACTCTGGGGGGCCCCTCATGTGTAACAACACAGTCCAGGGTATTTTCTCCTATGCAAAAATGGACAAGGAACCTCCAGGAGTCTTCATGAATGTCTCACACTTCCTCACCTGGATAAAGAGAACAATGAAGCGCCCCTAACATCAGGCATAAGACTGACCTTCTACTTGGTCTGACCATCTTTCCTGGGGCAAAGGCAAGAATTCCATGGGGGCGGGCAGTGAGGAGTACAGGGCCATAATAAACAAATCTCCAGAGCGAATACAACTGAAGTCTTGTTCCTTGAACCACTTTCAATAGGCAGCAACACTGCTGCAGGCAGCCTCTGCTGGCAGTCCCGGGTTTTGCTTCCTCCTTTCCCTCACAGCCCTCTGTCCTTCCAAAGCCCCATGCAGTTTAGTTCTTGATTCATTTTGCAAACACAACTCTTTGGTGCTTAGCCCTTAGTAAGGACTGAGTCTAAACTCCATTATTAAAGGATAATCTTCTCTCCCTAGAAATGGTCCTCTCTGGGCCTGAGAAAGTCCTTACCTTCTCTAAGCCAAACACCATCACCAACCCCTCCCCCCATCCCCCACCCAGAGACACAGAAGCAGGCCAATCGAATGGGAATAACTCCAGGGACCCAGAGGCCAGGGGACCATGCCATGGGCACTCGGTTTTATGTTTCTAGGGCCTCAGTCTCCAGCAGGGGGCAGGCTTCTCCCACAGCCACAACTCTGCAGCTTTGGAGGCCAAAATGCTCCTATAATGGTCCTCATCTCACTTATGTCCCATTTCCCTCCCTGCCCTGGGCCCAGCACTGAGTTCAGTCAACCTTCTTCCTCCCTGGCCGAACTTCTCACACCAACCCATGTTTTCCATTCAAGTTACCTGGCCACCAGCTCCTTCCCTCCCAGCCCACGCTATTTTGAGTTAGCCTCTCTCTCATCTCACGAACAGAGGCCTCGGTGTCCCATGTTTATTCTCCCCTATTGCTTCCTCACCAGACCTGAACTGCCAGCCCACTTGACACATATCAGAGGGGCCAGAACCCACTTCCCACCTGGGTAGGGTTGGCTCAGGCCCTCCTTTCAGCCTATCGTTCCCCAGGGGTTCAGCCACCACTGCCTGTGCAGTCTCATTCAGCAGCCTCATCCCTTTTCAGCCTGGCCTGGCCTGGCCTCAGGACCTGACTCCCCCTGCTGGCAACCTGGGTTATGGCAGCTTTGTGCACCACAGGCTCCAAGCTGAAAGGCTGGAAAGTACCACTTTGTAATCCATCAGTAGATCAAATGTTGATCTCTCTCTCTCTCTGTGCCAAGCACATAACAGGTTCTGTCCTTGCCATTGGGAAACTTACAGTGGTGAGAAATTTCCTCTCAGTTTTCCTGGTTCCTCTCCTCAACCAGGCAGATCAGTTTCGCACAGATAGATCTATAGTTGAAATCCACAAGAAAACTTGTCATGAACATAATTAAATTCTCGTTATTTTGTGAGTATTGTACATTGCAGTTTCACATGCATGATCTTGTTAGATTACAGAACAGCAGTGTGAAACTGAAAGAGACTTGGAGACCAGCAGGTCCTGAGGTTTGCAATCTATGCTCAGTGAAGTTCATGCCCAGAGGTGAGGGAGGAGGGAGGAGGCAACCAGGGCAGCCTTATCTTTACTTATATTATACATAGAAGGAATAAGCCTCGGTCCACAACCCACCAAGGGTCACATTCCAACTGCAAGACAGTTCGTTGTCACCCAGACCCCATTATTTTAGAGTCCCTTATCCTTGAAACAGCGCCACCAGTGAGTTGGATGTGACAGATACAACCAACAACTCACAAGAGCTGAACAATGATTCAGGTAGAACCTGCATCGAAAGGGAAGCAAGTTCACACACACACACAAATAAATAAACAAATAATAATAATAACAACAACAAATAAATCGCATGGATACGAGAAGCAAAATCCAGCACATTTAAACATAAGGTAAAGAGCAAATAAAAATTTCACTCAAGACTGTCCCTACATCCATCTGCCAAGTCTTTCCTGGGGTTCCCGGCCCTGGCGGAAGCACAGGTGAGAGAAGAACTGAATGCATGTGCGGAGAGGAGCAGGTGAACGGTAGAACGTGAACGAGACAAAGGACGACTTCAGGTTACAGCAGTAACACTACACGATGCTCTTAGGAGAAGCCATCACACAAAAGAAATGGAGACCCGGGAGTTGGGTCAGCCACTAGGAGCTCACGGAACATGCAGGCCAGAGCCAGCAGCAGAATGGCCACGGACATCTGCCACCAGGGACAAGGGTGTGTGGCCTCGAAGGACAGCACCTGATGGACCAGTCTTCCCCTTTACACCTGACAGGAGCACTTCACACAACATGACATACATTAGGAAGAAAAACCATTACTTATAGTGACTGCAGCATCATGAAGATCGGGCTGCTCTTGACGGTACATGTTTCCTTAACATTATTTCTAAGGACATTCACATTGATTTCTCTCTCTTTGATCTAGTGATTTTTATTTCTAGGACTTTTATCCTATGTCAGGCCGAAAATGTGTGTGTGCTTGTGTGCGTGTGTGCGTGTGTGTGTGCATAGGTGCATGCGTACGTGTGCAGGAGCAGGGGGTTATTCATAAAGATGTTCATCACATCATTATTTAATAATAGACCCCAAACTGAAATCATATCAATGTTCAAAATAGAGAAATGGTCAAGTATGACATATCACTTATGTATTACACAAGCCATTCACACCTACGTATCCACAGCTCCAGAAATCTAGGGTAAGGAATCGAAAGAAAGAAAACTAAGCTAAGAACATTAATACACGAGTTTTCAGAAAATCTAATAAACATTTGGAAAAAAGTAAAAGTACACTAACTAATCAATGCAAATTAAAAGTCATAATTTTTTCTTATCTGAAAAGGAAGGATTTACAAAAATAATAACACTCAGATTCAGTACGGACATTGAGAAAATGGCATTTCATACCTTGTACAGAAACATCCATTTAAAAAAAGGAAAAAAGTAGTCTTTTACCTAGCCATCAACCGCACTGAGAAATTGGACAAGGTTATTACTTAAATATTTGTTATACAACTTAAATCTTAGAAACAATCACTATGTCTAGCACGAATTTGGGATTATCTTTTAAAATGCTATGTACTATTGAACACTAAGTTAGGACATGAGGTACATTTTGCCACATGAAAGAATGTTCGCCAGGTATGCTGGAGTCAAAAGCAGATTAGAGAGCAGAATACAGTCATGCACCATTTAACTACAGGGATATATTCTGAGAAATGGATCATTAGGTGCTTTTGCCATTTTGGGAACATCTTAGAGAGTGTATTTACACATACCCAGATAGTATAGCCCACACCTAACAAAACAACACAAGATTAAATCGAACCCAAGAGAAAATGTGGTAAACATGTATAAGGCTAACACTCATACAGTTTCATAGCAAAAAAATTTTGTTCAATAGGTAGAAGGAGCACACTCTCAAATAACGATAAAAAGCATACTATAGTAAATACATAAATAAGTAACATAGCCATTTATTATTATTATCAAGTATTCTGTACTGTGCGTAACTGCATGTGGTATACTTTTATATGACTGGCAGTGCAGTAGGTTTGTTTACACAAGCATCACCACAAACACCCAAGTAATGAATTCCTCTATGACATCATGAGGCAATAAAAACTTTTCAGCTCCATTATAATCTTATGGGACCACCTTTGTATATGCAGGCTGTCTTTGGTCAAAACATGGTTATGGCATGCATGAGTGTATACAACAATCATATTTTCTCTTACACATATTTCCCCTTTAGGCTATTTTTTCCTCCAACATATCCTTTTTCCTAATTTTTCTACAAATGTCATATATTATTTGGATAACTTAAAACCCTGTTTATTAAATATGAATGAGACTCTAAAATGATATTTACTAATAGATTTTAAAAATTAGGGAAATGTTTACATAGAGTAATTAAACTATGGGATTCACAACTAAATATATTATAACCATGCCTACATAAAAATACACCTTGAAAAAATGCAACATAGAATTACGTCTGTTAACAGTAGTTATTTGGACGGTGGGATTTAGACTGACATTTTCTTCTATGCTTTAATTTATTCAATATTTTTTATGATTATTAAAATAATTTAATTTCTAAAAATATTCCATGTCAGAAATATTCCACGTCAACTTAAGTTAGGCTTAAGTTGATAGAAGTGTTAGTTAGGATAACTCTAAAAATTCTAACACATAAACTTTAGTGATTCAGCGTCTCATATAGCAGCAGTCTATTTCTTACTCACACACAGTCCAAAATGAATTTTCATGGCAATTAAGTGCCCCTTTTTACTCTCAAGTGTCCGGTTTGGGCAATAAATTACATGGTCAGCCCATATTAAGAGACCAAGGCTCAGTTCCATAAACTGGCTTCCAAGTTCTCCGGATTCACCTGCATCAAACCCTGGGAGGCGAAGAACCCAGATGGTCAGGCACGAGAGTGTTACAGGACGGGTCTGGAAGACACCCAGGTCATATCCACTTATATCCCATTCGCTACGACAGTCACTCAGCCACACCTGACCTTAAGTGACGCTGGATAACGTAGTTCATCTATGTCCCCTGGAAGAAGAGGAAATAGTTTTGCCAAATTGCTACCTCTGCTCGACCACGACGCTTAATAGTGTTTGCTGTTTACAAGGATCACGAGCCCTAAATATTTTTCTGCCCATTAAACTCATACATTTCCATTATTTAAAAAATTGGACGACATAAAGGGGAAAAATGAGAGTCACATAAAATAGTTGTTCTGGTTGTTGCCCTTTTTTAACAGGATTAGTATCGACGTGTGTACACCATTTTACATTCTACATTTTCCACTTAATAGTACATGATACAAACTGCTCCGTGCCACTCCAAGCAGTCCTCTAAAACATGATGCTTTCTCATAGCTGGATAGCATTGCATCCCATGAATATATCATGTTTTATATTACCTCCCCTATTGTTGACTTTGGATTGTCAGAGCATTTTTGGAAGAGGGTCTCGGAATATGTCCACCTCCACCTCTTTCTCACGCTGACCCAGTGCCCTGAGACACGGTCTCAGAAGCAAAGTCCTCGACCCGGAACACTGAGGGCCTTGAACATTTTGTCAAATCTTTCTCTGCCACATCCAGGGGGTCCGGGTCCTTCCGCTCTTCCTCACAAGGAGGACAGCACAGGCCAGTTCTTGGCAAGA